AAGAGGGTTGTGTTGTTGCTTGTATAAAACAAAAATAATGCCAGCTCTGATCAGAAACCTCTATTCAGACAGCCCTGGCTCCTTGAGCAGGAACTGTATCCCACATAACTGCTGAGCCATGAAAATGACTGAATTTCCTCCTTACTGGAATGCTAAAGAATCTCCCACACAGCTTTTAATTCCTCCCTCATTTTCCTGTGGTATCTGACTGCAACAAAAGCTCTAAAACAAAACTGGATTGATTGCTGCCCTACTAATCCCCAATCCAGTGACTTTGGGGACAGCAAACCACAGAGATTATTCCATCAAGTGACAAAGAACACACTACACCTTGGGGCTAAGTGCATTATTATGTGTTGTTGCTCAAATTCAAACCCAGACACATGTAACAAGATATCAGAACCAAATGCTCCTCTAAATACCCAAGTATTAGTATCAGCTACACACCAATATACAAAATATTCTACAGCAAGAAACATGGAACACCATGATTAAAAAAGCAGTAAGTCACACAAACATGTTGTTGTTTTGGAGAAATATTTCTCTTTTGGTGTCTAAAAAGGAAGCATGAGAAATTCTTCCTGATCATTCCAGTAGGAGGAAACTAAGACAATATAGAAAAGAGTTTAGAAAACTCTGAGCCAGAAATGACTTGTCTGCAGCACAGCTTCACATCAGGCAGCCACTGATCACCACATGCAGGCAGACAGTGCTGAGACATGGGCTCAGACCCAAATTCCACAGGCAGCATCCAGGCAGTGCATTTGTCTCCAGCAGGTAAAAAAATAATCTCTGATTTTCTTCTGGGTTTGTCAACAATCACATATTTATCTCATCTGTCTCCACAAACAGGGGTTTGTGTATTAACAAATAAATGCACAGAGCAATTCCAAATCCCCCCTCTCCTTTGTTCAGCACCGCTGTTAGCTGCTACAGCTTTTGAATTTCACCCCACAGAACCAAGCTAATCTCGCCACTGCATGCAAAGCCATCTGCTTAAAAAATAATTTAAAAAACAATCACAAAATCAAGATCAATTCCTTTTTCCCTGAATTCTGGACCGAGAGGCAGATTGGGCATGGTCTATAACAAATAACGGGGCAAGGTTTTTTTTGTTCATGATGGGATCACAAAAGGTAAAAGGACTACTCACACTTGAAAAAAAACCCAAACTTATTTTAAAATATTGTTCAAGTCTAATTTAATGTCTCAACATGGTAAAAACCCTCCAAGATGAAGATGCTGTATGTCACCCTGTGCAAAGTGACAGTTGCCACTGACACAGCTGCTTTTTCTGCAGCTGCTCATTCAGTGCATGTCAGACCTGGCTGCCCCAGAGCTGATACAGATAACCATCACTTATTCAATTAGTGGTCTCTGCTCTATTTATAGAGCAATATCTGCATTAGAAAGGGAATAATAATGCCCCACATCAGGATAGCCCAAGTCTCATGGACATTAAAGAATGTGACTCTCAGCTCCTGTGAAGAATGCACCTCAATAAAGATAAAGAAAAGGGAACATGGAAAACAAAACCAGATTGGCCTGGATCAGAGCCAGGACTATAATTCACTAAATTCTGTGCTCAAGCCTGCTGACCTCAATGATGAATATCTGAGGCTCCCAGAGGCTTCTCTCCAATTGCTCCTGCACACCAGAGCCCGGATTTCCAAACTGCCACAAGGAAAATGCAAAAATCACTATGAATAAGGAAGAACCAGGGCAGGTTCTCCACTCCAGCAATCACCACCCTAACCAGAGAGACCTGTCTCTCTTGCTCTCCAATTTTTTTATTTTCTTCTTAATTTTGGAAATTAAAGAAGAATCTGTGAGATGAGGCCAGTCAGAATAACTCCATGGACTGGGCCCCTCTTGGATGTGTCCTCTGCTTTCTTATAGAACTTATTTCTCTTGGCAGTGGCAAGTTTGCTGCTGTTTTTAGGGGAAAAGAGGGAGATGAACAGAAGGTCATGAAGTGCCACTACCTTCTCCCTGTGAGCACAGAGTGAGCACCCCAGACTCTGCACACAGCTGTGCTGACTTCAGCATCCCTCCTCAGCCAGCACAGCCATCCCAGCGGCAGGAGCCGCTTAATCCGGGAGGGAATTGATCTGTAAAACGCTGTAATGAGCTTCGACAGAACAGGGCCATCGATAGGGGAACACACGTCAAAGGGCAGCAGGCTGAGAGCTCCAGCCCTGCCCTGTGCCCTGCTGGCCAGGCAGGATCAGCCTCCTCTGCTGGGCAGCTCTGGGGTCCCCATCACCCTGCACAAACCCAAATCTAGGCAGGATAAACCTCCTTGGGCTCACATCACCCTGCACAACCCCAAATTCAGGCAGGATCAGCCTCCTCTGCTGGGCAGCTCTGGGCTGGTCTCACCCTGCACAACCCCAAATTCAGGCAGGCTCCTCCTCACTCTGGGGTCCCCATCACCCTGAACAACCCCAAATTCAGGCAGGCTCCTCCTCACTCTGGGGTCCCCATCACCCTGAACAACCCCAAATTCAGGCA